ATCAGAAATGTTTCTCGAGCAGCAAATCAGCATATTAGAATGATTTCTGAAGATCATGTGACACTGAAGACTGGAGTAATGATGCTGAAAATACAGCTGCGCATCACAGAAATATATTACAGTTTAACACATATTCACATAGAAAACAGTTATTGTAATATTTCACATTTTTACTGCATTTTTAATCAAATAAATGCAGCCTTGCTGAGCAGAAAAACCTTCTTTCAGAAACATTAAAAGTCTCACGACCCTAACCTTTTGAACTGCATAGTAAATGGCATACTGCATTTAGTTAGTAATGAACTGAAGTGAGAGTTTTCTGAAGTGTATGCATGATTTTCTCAGCAGTGTTTGTGTAACTCTTTCAGAAGCGACGGAGGAAGTGTCTCTGGACAGTCCAGAGCGTCATCCGATCCTGTCAGACGGCCCGTCTCCCGTCATCACGCCTGTGACACCTGTGATGATCAGCTCCAGAGCAGACGTGTTCGACCGCTCGCCGGACCAGGTGAAGCACGCTCTACTCTCATCTAGGCCTGTCAATAATCAATATATACACTTATCGCGCAATATATGCACATGACCTCATTTTTGGTGACGCAGTATATCGCACATTATATTTACTTGAAAATTAATGTCAGCATGTTTAGCACGTTCCACTTGCGCCGGTGTCTTCTGCAGCTTCTCGAACAGAACGCAGTGTATCATGAGCTGCTCGTTCACAGTTAAAAAATGCTTCTACAAGCAAAGTTTCATCTGCAGATATGATCTTGTTTAGAGATCTGACGCACATCTGAGTGCTGAGTAGTGCTTGTGTTTCTCAGCAATAGTGTGCATCCTTTAACTTACAGAGAAAAGAAGGCCAGGGACAAATCTGTGTGCATTTTTCTTTTTTTTCTACTTTGCACTTTTTGTTAGAAAATGTTTATTTACTAATTATTCAGGTTTTTTAAGGTATCTAATATTTTGATACTTAATTTGCATGATCTAAATATTCTTAAAAATTAAAAGTTTGTTGTCATTTGGACGCGCGTGTAGGTCTTCTTGCGTTATTACGCTGTTAGATTATGATTATATATTCAGTGGCATAAAATGGTCTTTAAAATAACAATAATATCGCTTATCGCAATTATTTCTGGAGCAATATATCGCACAACAAAAAGTTGTTATGGTGACCGGTCTGCTAGTGATCTCGTTCTCTTCATATCTCAGAGATCATGCGGTTTGACTCACAGAATCACATTTGTGACCAGTGCTGGCGAAATGAGTCACAATGAGTTATTTTTATTTTTACATTCTCTATTCAAAAGACCTTCACAATGATGTATGATTTGTTGGAATCGGACGAAAAAATGACTGAGCTACATCTGTTTGAAGTCGATGGAGTCAATTTAGAGAAAAACTGTTTTAAAGGTGACATATCATGAAACTCAGACTTTTCCAGGTTGTAAGTGCTATAATCAGGTCCCCGGTGCATCTACCAACCAAGGAAACGTGAAAATTTTTCTGAAGGTTTCAAAGCTTTTCTTCCTTTTCCGCCACTATAATCATTACTGGATTAATAATAAAAAAACTGCTGTTTTTTATTGTATCGTTGTTGTTATAAACAAGAAACGATTCAAAAAATAAAATATATATATAAAAAAAAAGAACAAATATAAGAAAGAAAAAAGTATACACTGCAAAAAATGATTCTCTTACTTAGTGTTTGTGTCTTGTGATTCCCTCTTTTCTTTTATTGTTTGATTAATATTAATGCGACAGACGGCTTATATAGTATATTAAGACATAGTGTGATGCACGGATCTAATATAATGCTACACATCCGATGTTTTTCCCCAAACGTTCACTTCAGACAGAACAGATTATGTTTGCGTGAATACTTCAATATATTTAGCCTGCTGTACATCACATGTGTTTCTCACGTTCACTGGACTCTTCCTCTCTAGGATGAAGATGAAGAGGAAAACAGGGACACGTTTGACATCCAGATCTCGGTTTCTGACCCTGAGAAAGTTGGTAAGGTGTTTGAGGACGATCTGTGAATCCATAGAGCTTTTCAGATGTTATCAGGAGCAGGATTCGCTCTGAGCTGCAACACCGGAAATACATTACACTCTCTCTGTGTTTCTAGTTTTAATGTTTATGACACCTCATACTCACTGCTAGAAAAACTCGACGTTAAACACGTCTACAGTCGCTCATTTAGGGAGCATTCGTCCTTTTTCTAAAAACAAACCAGTGTTTTTGGTGAGAAATCAATTTCTGTGTTTGCCTCAAAATATCAGTCGGAGTGAATGTTGATGATGAACACAATCACGTCTGTCTCATGTAGCCTTGCAGTTATTTTTGTTGTTATTTTTTTATATTTATTATTATTCATTTTGATTTGTATTATCGTATTTGTTATATATATATATATAT